GTACATTCCATTTTAAGCTGCTGTTTGTTTACAGCAATATAAGTCTTGTTGTAAAGTTAGATCTTTTTAACAAGACCGTAATATTTAACCACCATAAGTACATTTTGTCTTGACTATCATAGGACCATAGATAAGGTAGTACCATAAATAACACATACTCCCTTAGTTGCTTAGTCTATGGTTATACGCAGTTCCAAAAATTGGTTTCAGGTGTTGCTATAACAATGGTAGGAATAATATTGATCAACCATCAACAAATAATGGAATACTTACGTCTAAGTACTGAAGCTGGGTACATTTTGTTCTCATTCTTGCCAGAAAACATGATGTACTATTTTTATGAATAAGTTAACACACAACTATACACAACAAACAATACTCTATCAATATCTTCAATTGATATAGTGCCAGTGGAATTAACGTTTGTTTTTGTCATCCGGGGGTGAATGAAAATTAATGATAAAAAAATCGGAAAAAATGGATGATAAAAAATCTCTCATCTCAATCATTAATGATGAATTGTTTCTATAATTCCTAGGTTAAAAAGTTGGATAAAATGACGTAAGCTGTATATCATACTGTTAAAACTTTGTAAGTTAATTTTACTGAAGAAAATAGTTCCATTGAAGAATTCGCCATCGCTTTGGTATTCCAATAAGTTTGTGTTTATTATCTTATTTACTTACCATCGTGTTTACTTTTCGTATTTTGTATTTTACTTACCAAGTATCACGTATCTTTATTTACCCTCTATTTGTTTCACAGACCACTGCAGATGAAACCACATAATTACTTTGTTAAAATGGTTTTGAAGGTCAGTTGGTTTGTTTTGTATAGCTGCACTTATTTTGTGAATAATTTGGACTAAACCAAAACAACAAAACAGTTTACTCAATAGTCAATGGTTATAGTAACTAATCATTTTATAAGAGCTATCTGTATCCTTCGACATCCTTATGTCGAATAAAATTCTTCCTTAAGAATTTTATTCTTCATTAAAACAAGCAACCTTACAAATATGTGGAAGGAAATTTAATCTTATTTAGTTCCAAAGTTGTATATGTATGAGCTTTTGTATAATTTATTTATTATTTTTTTTACTTTATTTAATTAATTAATGCAGCTTGACCACCGGTTGTTCTTTCATCCAAAAATGATACTAATTAAACTTAACGTGATACCATTCAATTTCATCAGTGCTGTAGTCTATGAATACTTTTGTAAATTTTTGAGCAAATAACCAATAGTACGTCAATAGTAGATTTGTTGTTGTTTTTTGTTTTATCGTGTTTACTATTGGTGATGTCAAGTTAAAGTTTCTCCCTTATTTTAGAATATATTTCATAATTTGTCCTGGTTTTAAAACAAAATATCTACCAGCAGTTTACAGATTATATTATTCAGTTTAAATAGTTTTAAAGGTAGTTATATAAATAAAATGTAAACAATGAAACTACTTTTACATAAGCCTGGCAGAACTTAAAATTATTTAGCTGTTCCATAAGGATGATAAATATATAAATATATACAATGACACAAATGACAGTTAGGATGGAAATACCGATCTAATAATCTTAAGTTACAAGCGTGTGTTTTGTTGGGTAAAAATCATTAAGTGAGATTAGGTGTTTAGGTGTTTAGGTGTTTTGATTAGGTTGCTTCAAGTTGTTTTGTAATGTTTTTACGGCCTTACCTCAATTTATTATTTTCCGTCCTGGGTTTCTTTACCATGAAACTGGCTGCACACTTATAAAAATATTATTGTAAATAAACTATACATAAATACTAAAATCTAATGCATGTATATTCCTTAGGCATCGCCAAAACATCCTCCAATCAAGGAATGATTAGGAAATTTACTCTGCCAATGACTTTCAACTTTACCATTGCTAATCTTTATGAAGTTAAATTTATCAATTCGTTTACATTGAGATAGAAAAATTGTTACAATTTATATATTTGTTTTAGTTACATTTTACACATTTTACTTCACACTGTTGCACAGGCGGTTGACACAAATCAGAGAGAATATTTTGTAAAACTGTGTTGTAAGTGTATTCAACATATAGATACCAATGATTAATGGAAAAATGTTAAACTTTTGAATCATAGGTAATACTACATATTTTTGTAGCAGCTTAAGGATATATTTGTATAGTTTTAGGCTCAATCCTCATACCAAATGTAATGTAGTCAAGGTAAAGTACATGATAAATAACCAATCGTACTATTCTAACACTGACGAAAAAACCTATTAAGTGTGTAGGTGTGCTGGTGTGATGGTGTGATGGACCCTGGACAGTCTCTCCTCAATTGATGGCGATGCGATGGTTGTGTTGGAGAAAACATGGTTGCCCACTCCAGTCTACAGCAAATAGCAACAAATGATCCTCCGTTGTCTGTTGTTTGTTTGTTTGCTCACCTGTCACTACCTGTCTGTCTGCATTGTATATCAGTTTGGGCAACTGTGGAGGAGTTTTTGTCCTAGTTTGATAAATTAATTGATTTGATTTTCAAAAAAATGGTTCGATTGGTGATTCGAATTTCAAAGAGTTTTTAAGATATTCTTTTTGTTTTTTTATGTTGATTACACTAATTGTTGAAACTAGCTGTTTAGTAACATTACTTCAAACGGGTACCACATTTTTATAATGCTTTCGAATCTTTTAGCTGAATTGTTTTCAAATTTAAATATATTTTTTGTGCGATCTTAGCGTGTCTTACATATCTTGGGTAAGATCCTGTTGGTATTTAGAGTAAGAAATTATGATTTGGAAATATTTTTGTACTTGAGAAATATGCAGAGGTTTATGTTAAGTAATTAGTGTTAAATAAAGTTCATGTCTTAATGTAATTAAAGTACACATACAACTTCCTTAAATATAGGCTGTTCAAAAAAGATGGGGACATAGTTTACTTAGTGATTCCTTGGGTCGAAATAAAGAGAAAATCAAGAGTAACATTTTCCCAAAATCGCTTCGTTATCAGATATCTACCATTTTGTATTTTCTACATAAACCATTTTATCTTTGAGTTTTTTAAACAATCTTTATGAAACTTTGAATGTAGCCTATGTTAATGTAGAAGAGATCCTTGTTAGAAAAATAATGGTATTTTGTTTCAGCTTAAAACTTCAAAATGGATTCTAAAAATATGGCTGTTTTATGAAAAAATCTCAAGAACAACACCATTATTTAGAATTTTTGATTCTATATCAAACGAAACCAAGTTAAAAAGATTGATTTCAAAATTACTGAAATGTCATGATTTTCAGTTGTAAAAAGAGGCAAACCTGACGAACTTGTGTAACCAAATTTTCATTCAAATTTTATTCTTGATTTTCTCTTTATTTTGACCAAAGGAACCACTACGTGAATTATGTCCCCACTTTTTTTGAACACCCTGTATAAGGTCCATAACGAAAAATCGATAGTGTTTTTGTGGTACATCAAGATTTTCGTCATTTCTAAACCATGAATAATCTTTGGTATGACAGTGTCCGAATGAAAATATAGCAAGGGAAAATAAAAAGTTAAATATGTCATGTCTTTGCTAAATTTTTGCACATTTGTGTATAGGGTGAGTGCACCAGTGAATGACCGGTTAAGGTTGACTTTCTACTTGTAAACGACATGGGAAAATATACTACTAAGCTACATTGTACGAAATCGTTAAAATGTATTGCCCATATTTCCCTGTACTTCCTGATGATACAACTTAATGCATTATGTTAAAAGAAATTATCGAGAAATACAATTTTTTGCACATAAGTCATCGCACCAGTGAATGACCGCATATTATATAACAATTTTAAAATTGTATTAAACCTCATCCTTTTCACCAAATGACCCCCGTTCAAGATTTTCGCATCAAAGCTGTAAACACTGTAGTGAAAAATAACGATATCCGGGTCGTTAAAATATTGGTTCTAGTGAAGGATCACTTTTTATCTAGGAAATGACAATAAGATTTAACTCGCATTCAAACTTTGGTTATAGTGTATCCACATAATTTCTGATGAGATTTTGTGTTTCCTAGCAATCGCTTACTCCATCAGAAAACATTGTCATCAATATTAATAAAGAAAATTGACTCAAATCCAGTTAATGAACGAAACGGTCATTCACTGGTTATACTCTAATTTGTGAACCAGTAATTGACCGGCTGTTAAAATACACGATTGGTTAGGATTTTGATCTTTAAATGAGTACAGAATTATACCTTAACATGTTAACTGTGAATTACATGTAATATATTACAGTTCCAATCAATAATTAAGGAACCATGACAAATTACAACCAGCCATGTTTGTGTGAGACGCCATAGTGGGAAGCTTAATAATGAACTGCTTTGAAACATCTAATTTTGTTTTTGTTACAAAAGGATGATTGACACTTTCTTTTTTAATAAGTCAAAGAGTGTATATTAATAAGACCTCAAAGTAACTTTTAAAACTGTTTGTGATAGACTAGGAAAAACAGAAAGCCTGATATGATGTTTTTTATACAAATCGGTCATTCACTGGAGGGTGGTCATTCACTGGTGCACTCACCCTACAACAATTACAGTTTTCTGATTGTAGAAGACAAATGTTAAATTATATTATAGAACATATTGTTATACTATAAGAAAGAAATCAGCTTGGTTTTGTGGAAAAATTTTAAGATGATATTATTTTTTATGATATAGAACTTGTTAAATAATTTTTTTTTGTTTTCAGCTTTTTAGCTACTTCTTTGTACTCAAAAAAACTACAAAAACAATGGGTTTGTTAGCATTATATAAGATTTAACATAGACTTTGAAGTTGTATCTTAGCACGCCATTAGATGTTTGACATAAAAAAATTATGAAAAGGCTAGACTTGTCAAATAAATTTAAATAAAGTTAATTTATATCCATTATTGTCCATAATTTATATACCACACATTATTGAATCATCACATGTAAATGTAGACTAGTGGAAAAGGTCATACAAGGATGAAAAATAAGCAAAACAGCTCGTTAAAAAAGTATATTTATTTCTAACCACACGTGAACAAACATAATAAAATCTTATCACAAAACAAGGGGTGGATGTGTAAATGATAAGCCCTCCCTGGAGGGTAAAAATGTTTAATTAATCCAAAAACTCCTTCTGCTTGGAAGAAATCTTCAATAATTGACTGTGAGGTAAGACTAAGCTTCTTTTAGTAAGGATATATTCATTTAAAACTACTGTAGTATTTGCTTAAACTTATAAAACACTTTATTTGTTTTCCATGTTTAAAGCGACGTTAAAGTAATGGGATACAACTGTTGATTTAATTGAAATAGTATTACATCTACTATCTAACAAGTTTTCATCCAAAATCATTACAGAACAAGGTTTTGCTAATCTAGTTTTAAGTATGTAAGAAAAGTTATTCTATACATAAAGTTCTTAAAATTTATTTTAACATAGTGGTCAAGGAAGCTAGTTTTAAAGTCAACAAATTACATGGTTTAACTAGTAATTTAGACAAACTAGCTAGATAACCTAAAAATTAATTACCCAAATTCAGGAGGGATTATCACTCTACTTCACAGATGTAGGAGAGAATACAAATTAAATGCTAACCAACTATACAATAACAGTTTATACAAGGGGCGAGCTGACTGTTTACTTGCCGAAGCAAGAGACAGCGTTGAACGCGCACTGCTTCCAGTAACTTCGCTTGCGCTGTAGGTCTTGCACGTTCATCTGGTTGCGAAGTCTGTTCACCACTTGCTTGGCGAACAAGTAGTTCATCAGGGCCGTCTCCACACTGCCGTCGTCGTCGACCAGCTGAAACAAGCGTGGATACGATTACTCTATATGGCGAGGCTACATGTTAAAATATTGCTGAATGTCGCAATATTGCTAAATGTCAAAATAATGCTGAACGCCTCAACGTGATATTGCGCAGTGTCAGAATACATGTTAAAATATTACTGAATGTAAAAATATTACCACCAACTTGTCAATATATTGAGTTTCCACACGTGTCGACAAAACCAGTTCTAGTTCTAAGATAATATCTTTAATGCACATGTAGATGGTGAAGGGGGTTTATAGGGGCTACAGCCCACCCCCCATTTTACACTGGAAGTATAAACATACATTTCGTTATCTTCTACATTTTTTAAAGAATTAGTTGGATTTTTGTGTGCAGCAAATCGACCCCTAGATATTTATTTGTATATGTATATTGGGTATCAATTTAAATCTCTTATCCTTAGATGTGCCTTTTGCGGTTTGGATGATATCCAGTGATAGCCCTTCGTATATAGAATTTAAAATTTCAGTGTTTGTGCTGAATTATGTTGTAAATCATCTGAGATTTTTCTAGTTTACATATTTTGTTTACATAAAAAAATATGGCCATACTAAAATTTTGTTTACATCCACCCGAAAATTGGGTTATCGTTACAAGTTTGTGATGTTTTAGCGAATTCAAGTAAAATATTGTTACGTTATTTGTTTAAAATGTAAAGAAGAAAATGACTTAAGTTAGATTTTGTGTTTTCATAGTATGTTTAATAAGTGATAAGCTAATGATTATCACGTAAATATAAATAATTTTCAACTTAACTCAGAGCAATCAATATTGTAAATGAATTCAATTATATATCAAAGATTTTGAAGTCACGAAGTGATGCTGGCTGCTAGTAAAACTTAACCGAGGTTTTTGGACACAGTTATAGACCTTGAAAATGGCTTTAAAAAGTCACTAAACGGCTTTAAAAATAGCACATTTTTCGGGGAAGGACCCACAAACCCTCTATAGGTGTAAAACGCCCCGGTAGTCCCCCCCTTTACAAGGTCCTAGAACTGCCACAGCATCTAGACTTTAATCAATAAGAATACGTCAAAGGTTCAAAATTAACTACAAGAATCTTTCAGCATTAGTTAATATGTCTGGATATAGATGGTGTGGAGTTAAATCAAACGAAACACGCACGATCATGCGACTTGAAAGGTTAGTATCACCGTAGGGAGGATTACCAATTTTACTGTTGTATTTTGAAACTTTAAAAGCAGAAATTTTTAAAATTGTTTTTAAATGTAAATGAATTAAGAAATATCAAAAAAGGTAGATTTTGTTTTATTGCATACATTTTAGTAGACGGAAATTTTCCAACAGGTATAAAGTTCTCCTCACCAAAGAACTATCTTTTTTAGCGAATTTCCCATATAGTGAATAAGCTATTACCGTAGTACTCATGGTAAGACCTGGGCCCGAGACCGATCTAATTTTTCATTTTGAGGTCCCTAGAGGCCAAAAACACCATCCGTTCAAATTCATATATATATATATACAGGGTGTTGAAAATGTCTGGAACCAACATTATATCTCGTGAGTGGTTAAAGAAAAACAACTGATATTTTGTGTACGGATATACTATGGTTTTACCTATCTTTTAGTGTCTTATGAAAATTTTTACCACTTATAGGGAACGTCCTGTGGAGGATGCAGTAAAAAGTTTTAATGGAAGCCTATGGCAAATTATACATCATTTTAAAGGCCATTTTTTTCTGAGTAAGGAGCCACAAGTTTCATCTCAAAAGGACCACCCTAGCAAAAATGGCGACTGTTTGAAATTTAAAAAACCACTTATAGGGAACGGAATTTTTAAATTTCAAACAGTCGCCATTTTCGCTAGGGTGGTCCTTTTGAGATGAAACTTGTGGCTCCTTACTAAGAAAAAAATGGCCTTTAAAATGATGTGTCATTTACCATAGGCTTCAATGAAAACTTTTTACTGCATCCTCCACAGAACGTTCCCTATAAGTGGTTATTTAAATTTCAAACAGTCGCCATTTTTGCTAGGGTGGTCCTTTTGAGATGAAACTTGTGGCTCCTTACTCAGAAAAAAATGGCCTTTAAAATGATGTATCATTTACCATAGGCTTCCATTTAAACTTTTTACTGCATCCTCCACAGGACGTTCCCTATAAGTGGTAAAAATTGTCATAAGGCACCAAAAGATAGATAAAACCATAGTATATCCGTACACAAAATATCATTTGTTTTTCTTTAACCACTCACCAGATATAATGTTGGTTCCAGACATTTTCAACACCCTGTATATATGTGTGTGTGTCCGTTAGCGCGATAACTCGAGCAAAAATGATCCGATTTTGATGAAATTTGGTACAAACGTGTAAACCTACGTTTATTCGAACGAGTTCGCGATCCAGCATAACTGGACCATGGGAACGGGGGATTATGGGGGGTTTTATGGGGTAAAAATGGGTTTTCCCATTTTTGAACCTAAAAACAAAAATTTTTTGATTTCTTTCTAAAACGTTTTGTAGAGCTTAAAAAAAGAAATAATTTAGTATATTGAAGCGCTGTTGTGTGCCTAACGGTCACGGAGAAAATTCAAAATAGTGTAATTAAAAATTCCCATGTTATTCTTATGGAGAAAATGAAAATTGTTGTAGTTTACTTGTTTATGGGTATATATTGATAAAATTTGGCAAATTTATTTATTTCATCCTATACTATTGATGTATGGTCAAAAACACTTTTTACCTTCCCCGTAGCAGCAAACCTAAGCACTTGTTAAATCTAATGTTATTAGATAGGGAATAATATGTCTTATTTATAGAAATATTTTAGTAAAAATGTAATCAGACAAGTTGAAATTCGCTTAGTCTGCAGGTTTGCTGCGGCGGGGGTATTTTATAAATGTCTGTACTTTCACCACAAATCTTTGAACCATTGTAATTTCAGAAATAAAAACCATGGTGGTTGACGTAATTCAAGCCTCCAAAGCAGAAATCCTGCGTACTAACTCCTAAACTACTTACGTTACGTAAATATGCACATTACATTCAAAAATGTGAAATAGAATGTTTTCACACGATTTGATTATTGATACTTGTATGAAGGTAATGGATTCTATCTAATAAAATATACTTAATTATACACAATATTTAAATTGTTGTAATGAAAAAAAAAATTTACAACTTATCCACACGATATCTGTCAATGGAAAGAGATTTTCTCAGCAAGTTCTACCTCCACATAATGGGTCAATGGTCAGAATACATTGATGTAGAATGCGGTAAAACGGTAAACAAATGTTAACAGTGATAGATTTTGTTATGGTACTCCATCACTGTCGCTTAACCCCAAAAGCTAATCTACTTAGGCTTCGTTTCTATCCCATTGGTGGCATTGTTCCTTCCGATTACTACCATAAATTGAAAAGAAGAGACGTTTTTGCACAGGTCTACTATATTCCTTATTCTAGATTTTCACTTCCAGTAACAATAAATGCGTTTTTGTATTTATTTACGGGCCAAAAACCCTTTCAACACATATTAAGTAAATTACTTGTAACATAATTAATGTAATTTATTTTGTACATTGGTTGGTTTTCTTTTTTTATAATACTGTAAGGATAAATAATTAATTGCAATGATGGTCCATTACAAATTGATTATGGCATCGACTCCTTTTCATAGTTTAGTTTAGGAATCACGATTCTGTATATGTATAAAATCGTAGTTATACTCATAAAATTAATCCATTGTTTATGTCACACAATATGAATTAGTTTCAAAAAGGACATAAGCCGCGTTATAGCGAACGTCACGTTATATCTTCGAGGCAGAAAATTGAAACTTTTCGTCAAGTAAATCGTCCAAAGCTCAACAAAGGGCAGATCACAGATAACAATCAGATAACAGCTGTGACATTCGTTAGGCACTCCTTTGTTGTTATTTGCATTTTGTTATGAAATTCTCTTACGTAAAACCTGCCAGATGTAACTGTAACGAGATCAAATATAATGATCAAAGATTCGAAAATATCATATTATGTAAATAAATAACTCGTGACTATGTATATTTTTGTGAAAATCATTTCTAGACTAGTGTACGCTCTTGAGAACTACATTATGTAATATTATAATTATATCACTTTACCCATGGCTCTAGATTTCCAAATGTTTTGTTATACTTTATGGATCTCTATGCAGGGATTAAAAATACAATGTGTTGTGGATATAGAAAATACAGTGCAATATATTTTAAACAATCTAAGGTGAAATTTGATGTAGCTATGAATTAACACAGTTTATACATTAAGTAGTTTTAAACTAAGTGTAACGTAAGCACAAAATAAGTATTTTAAGACAAATTTTTAATTTCCTGCCTGAGGTGGACAGAGATGCTTGTCAAAGCATACCTCGAACAACATTGTCACTGAAACATTTAAATATTTACTAAGAATGTTTTACTAAATCTTTCTAGTTAAAAATACTTGGTTTCTACTATAAGGTTGTTGGATTAAAATTTATTTGATTCATGCAAGATTTCTTTTGAATGAGCTAATATTACTAATATTATTTAGTAAGGACTAGAAATCTAGTAAAAAAACAAGGCGGTAATTTTTAAACAAAAAATATAAAAACTTATATTTTATATAATTATAAACCCCAACACAACTGCTTGTTACAACTCGTAAAATATTTACGAAATAATTGATTGAGTTCCCTTTCAACTTATGAAACAAGTCAATTATGTTGAACCACGATATTTACCACGATTTTAATTAACGTCAGTTATATGTACCATTTCTGTGTCATAAATGCAATATGTCACAGATCAAAACTAAACTAAAGTCAAATTACTCTTAAACAAATTAAATTGAGCTCTGTCAGTTTATCTGACTGACTATTGAATGTAATAGGGATAATGTCACCTAGTTCTTGTTAAACGTAAAAACACGTTAGTTTGCATTGTTGTTTTACCAATACACGATTTAATTTGTGTAAAAAAAAGACACTTAA